TTTCCATAGATAATGTTTATAATTTTATATATATATATATATATATATATATATATATATATTTTTTTTTTTTTTTTTTATTTTTTATTTTTTTTTTCCTGGTGATCTTGCTAAGTTCAACATTGTCACATTACTTGGAAGCAGGGGCAAGTGAATCTTCACCCTTACTATTTGGAGACACAAACTCAAGAGGCATAATTATTATTAAGATTGAATACTAAATACATTATTTGGATTTTTTCTGCTTCTTGTTTGGTAATTAAATATGGAAATGACCTAAAATGTCTTCAGGGTTGCAATCTGGTAAAATAAAATGAATAGTTATCTAGTGCAAACTTATGGCAACAGCATGTTACATTTAAATGGAATTTAAAGATTCTTCCCCTATCTAATTGTTCTTTTGCTACTTTTGTGTTAACAGATGATGGATCTGTTTGGTGCTGGGGCTACAATATATGTATCCTTAAAATGCTTGAAATCCCTTGATGGAATTAAATTTAAGAAATCCCTTGTTCCGTTGTTCTTAGTTATTAAAAATCAACTTATTAATATTGTTTATCAACATCCTTGACTATTATACGGATGGTCAACTTGGTATCAATGGAGAGGACTTCCATGGCAGAAAATATAGTGATGGAGATTATTCTGTAGTGCCCTGCTTATTGAATAAGTTTCTGGAGTTGCACCCCCCTGATTCTTCATCAACTGTTCCAGAAGCAGAAGGAAAAACATCGCTAAAGGTAAACTATTTGTTTTTTTTATATATAAAAAGTGTCTTAAAACCGGACTAATTTATGTTCGCAGAGTGTGACTTTAGTTAATCAAATATTATTTTACACTAAAGGAATTCAATATAGGAGTTCAAGTCGACCCTGTATCCTAATCAAATATTATTTTAAACTAAAGGAATTCAACATAGGAGTTTCAAGTCGACCCTGTATCCTATTTATGTTTGTTTTAAAACAAAAAGTAAGTCAAGGTTTGTGTCTCACAAAAATGTTTTGGACTGTTTCACAGATAATTGCTGTCAAAGCAGGAGGAATGATGTCTCTGGGTATAGACAATCTTGGGGCCTTATGGATGTGGGGAAATTGTCCTCAACAAAGCAAAGAACTTGGCTTCTCTCTTATAAGTAATTTCACTCCAACACCAGTGTGGGATTTTCATGGTCACACTGTGGTTCAAGTTGCATGTGGAAATGAACATGTTGTGGCACTTGTTACTGGTGGAGAATCATACAAGGGTGTGGATGATCTAGTGTGCTACTCTTGGGGTAACAACAGCCATGGCCAATTAGGCTTAGGGGACACCAAGAACAGGCCACGACCAGAAGTGGTGAAAATGAAAACATTTGATCTTGAGTCCCCTTGTGCAATTTATGAGGTAGCATGTGGTGCCTTTCACACTGCTTTGCTCACCCGCAATAAGAGGCCTAGTGACACATTACAAAGCACATGCTGGACATTTGGCCTTGGTGATAATGGACAACTTGGACATGGAACAACACAAAGCACATTGCTTCCTGAGCCTGTTAAAGAATTGCCACAAAATGTGTATCTTGTTTCTATTGACTGTGGCTTGTTTCATACTTGTGTTGTATCCTCTGAGGGGGATGTGTGGTCATGGGGAATGGAGAAGGGTCTTGGCTTATGCCCGGATGATAGTTATGGTGGAACAGATTCTGGTGATGCTCTTTCTCCTCTTCTTGTTTCATGCAATCCACACCAACCTAAATTTCCAGAACCAGTTCAAGTTGCATGTGGGGCTGCTCATACTGTTATTGTTGCACAAGAGGGGTATAAGCTCTGGTCTTGGGGTAGAGGAAGGAGTGGAGTTCTTGGAAATGGTAATGATGTTTTTTTTTTCATTGTTTTTTTGTGGGATATATTTTTTCAAGAACGTGATATTACTTCCATCCCTAATTATAACACTCTTTCAATTAAATTTCATCTTTTAAAAAAAAATTACTTAATTTACTTAAGAACATTAAATTTGTTGATAATTTAATATATTTTTTAAAACTAACCTTTCTTTCAACTTAAGTATTTATTATCTTTTATTTATAAGAATTGTTAATTAAATAAAAGTATTCTAGAAAAAAAATATGATCAATGCAACCAATAATTAGAGGGAGGCCTTATAAAAAGGTATATGCAAAAAAAATAAAAATAAAAAGGTCTTATATATAAGGACATGATAGTATTTTATTGTGTAATGAGTATTTATATACATTAGTATGATATTGACTATTTTGCTCTTAAAGTCTCATTGATTTGCTTTTAGTATCACCCAAAAGGCATCATACCAATAGATATTTGTGGTGCTTATAAACTTATGTTTCTCCTCTTATTATAATAATATGAGACTTTGTTTGTATCTTATCAGGTAAAACTATGGATAATTACACGCCCACTACAGTGTTATGGCCTCCACTTGTAGAAGATTTCAAACAAGAGGAACTACATAGCTCAAATAAGCACAATAAAAATGAGGCTAAAGATGTCATAGAAACAAATGAGAGATTATCTTCAGCATTGAAAGAACTGAAGTTGCTTCAAACAAAGTTATCTGTGATGGAAAAATATGCTAGTATTCTTCATGGTTCTATCTTTGGGGAACCCTTTGGTGAGCAAGATATCCATGCTTCATTAGAAAATTCAAGTGTATCTGATATAACAAAGGAATGGGAGAACATGTTAGAGGCAGCAGATCGTACAAAGCTAATTAAGTTGGAAATGCTCTACCAAAACATGCTTACAGGTGTGAAAGATAAACTGATGAAAAGAAGGATCAAGGAGATTATAAATGAATGTCTACAATCTTCGCGAGTGGAAAATTAGTATATATACATGTAAAAAGAAAATCACTCTGGTCAAAGGATTGCACATGCATATTAATAGGCAATCTGTGCTCAAATTATTGTCTTGATATTTACTTTTGTACTTGTTATAATATCCTTGTAAGTCTCTCTTGTGTGAGAGTTCTGTACATAGTTGAGCAAAAATTACCCTCAATTTTTATGCCACAAAATGTTTAGATGTTATACTTAGTAGTTGTATCTATCTTTTTATTGGAGTATAACTTGCTCATTACTCCTCTTAGTCTATTGGTTTTATGCTCGATTATTATTTTGTGAGTTTATTTATGAAAATGTGAATTGTAACTCTTAAAGTTGAATTTAATGTCGAGAAGAGATAAATATTAGAAGGGGGATTGAATAGTATGTATCAAAAACTCATACTTTTTCATAGTGAAATAGTAACACTAGTCAGATGGAGTGTAAAGAGAAGTCAGATAGGACATAAGGTATTATTTGTTGAGATGATGGGACATCTTGAAGACTCCTAAAGAATGTTTTAATTTTGATGATATATTTTATAGATGTTTCTTAAGCCTGTGAAAAAGGATATTGTATTGATTGTAATATATATAGGCATGTGTTTGTGTTTGTGTTTGTTTATAATTGATGATGATGATGAGTGTTTAATTCAATAAGTAATCAAACTTTTTAAGAATCTAAGAACTTGATTATATAATATTTCCATGTATAAACATAAAGTAATAGATTATCATGAAAAGGCAATTTACTACCAAGTGTTTAAACATAGAAATATGACTTAATTCAAACAAGAGTTTTCAAGATAACATTGTTAATCAATTACCATTCAAGGTAATAGATTATCAAGTCTGTTACTGGAAAAGGATATTCAAATATCCTCTATGTTAATAGATTATCAGAGCTAGTAATAGATTAAAACAGAACCTCTTGCTTGAAATAAGGCTGAAAAATCAAGATTTTCATCGGGATAATCAATTACCAGAGGAGATAATCAATTACCACAGAATGAAACACAATTCTAGGTTCTGAGAAGCTTGGGATAATCGATTACCAAGTCGCATAATCGATTACATTGACACGTGTTCAAAATTCAATTTTTAGATGAATTGGTAATCAAAATATTAGGTAACATATTACTTGCATTATGACTTAGATCTCTTAGCCATATTAGGTACCATATTAAGTAAAAGGAGATTGTTAGATCAAAAGATAATCTTAGATCTCTTAGCCATAATGTTTTAATGATAACAAATACAAACTTTTTTAGAAATTTTTTTAAAATCATTCAATAAGAAGAATGCTCTTTGTAGGACAAATACACTAAGACAATCTATTATCTTGACATAAGTGTCTAACAGACAAAATACTTCCTCTACAAGATATTTACTTGAAATTAATATCATTTATGACGTTTGATAATTAAATCAATCTTTTGTGTATAATATTCCTTAACAGATCAAAGCAAAACAACTTCCTCAATACCTACAATGACAAAAGAGAAGAAATAGAAATACATGCCTTGTGTTAGAAAAAGACGTGTGGATCTTATGAATCACAAAAATTTTCAAAGAAAATTGTTTTGAACTAAGACACGCATAGCTCCACATTTTCGATACCTAAAATGTGATAATTAACTTCCTTAATTAGATCAGAAGTGACTATTTGGTGAAAGCATTTAATGCACCAATAGACACTTCTCTCCACAAGGAACAAAGATGAAGACAAATGAAACAAGCTTGTGAGAGACGCTTAAGGATTTGTAACAATCATCTTCATTGAAACTCTATAAAAGGATGTTTGAATTTCATAAAGAAGAGAGAAATCAATTATTGTAAAAATTATATTCTGTTTTTGTAAAAAGTCTCTACACTTAATTATTCGTATCATGTCTTGATAGTAAGACCAAACAACATAGTTAGCTTACCCAACTTTAAAAGAATACTTGTTGGTTTAAACTTGGAAAGGTTTGTCTGTAAAAGAATACTCGATTGTTAAAGCTTGGAAAGGCTTTTTGTTGAAAGAATACTTGGGTAGTTGATTGAAGAGACAAGTTAAAGAATACTTAAGTTTGAACCAGAAGTAGCTTGGTAAAAGAATACTTGTATCTTTGCATAAGATAGTGGAACTTGATCTGGTTAAATTAAGAATTGGACGTAGTCTCGATGATTGAAATGAACTAGTAAAAAAATACTCTGTTTAGTTTTTTTTACCTATTTTCCTACACTTCTTTATAAAGTTACTACTTTATTATTTATGAAAAGTGAGATTTTGATTGACATTATTCAACCCCCCTTCTAGTGTCTTTTCTTTCTTCGTAGAGCCTTTATTGAAGCAACACAACACATTTTGCTAAAGTCCCTTTAATTTCTTCACAAGTCCAAGAAGTTCTAATAGTACCATTTGCACCAACTACTGAAACTGTGGTTCCTTTTATGGACCATTATTGTGTTTGACATGCAAGTATTGAGGTAGTCTCACAACATGTTGAAGAAATTGTAGGAACATCAACTACAATAGTAGATGACATTGCATCGTCTACCCTTGACATTGGTGCAATTGATGTTGAACCATTGAATGTGGATGCGACATTGGTGGAGCTTGATCCAACTTCGTCCTAGTAAATGATTATCACTAGAGATCACCTTACTTCAATTTGGAGGTATCCCTATCATAAAGACGAGTGATGGATTGTGTTCTACCCTTATACTAAAATGGTGACAAAAGTGAAGCCCTTTAATTTATATGGTTATCATCGTTTAGATGATCAAATTGTTGTTAGAAAAGAATGGCACAATCGAAGAGAGGGGGTGAATTGGATTCTATGACCCTTTAAAAAATTTCAGAGTATTTAGGATCTTTATTTCACTTAAACTTTTCTAAGACTGAATTTTCAATGAAGTTTCTTCAAAGACTTGCTTATAGAAAAATGAATGCTATATGCTTCCTTGATTACAAAATAATGAGGTTCAAATGTAATGCTCTAATTCAGATTAAACCATCAATATTCACACACACATGTTAATCAAGAATTATCTTCTTTAATGTTCAACCAAGATATTACTCAAAGTAAAAGATAAAGGTAGAAGAAGATTGCACAAGTCTTTTATACTGGTTCATCCACTCTACATGTGACCTACAGTCAGTCCTCAATCAGCACCTGATCAAGATTTGTTCCACTATCTCAATGAAGAAGGTTTACAAACATACCACACATGCATATACTTCAACACTAAAGATAACCACTTTCTTGACCCCAAGAAAGCACCCCTTGTAGAAACCCACTACAAGAATCCTTACCACTTGAGAAACCCTTCTCAAGATTTTACAAGTATTCACAAAGAATTAAGGAACGAATTCACCTGGAATTCAGAAGCAAATCTTAATCTTCCCCTTTCAAGAATGTGATGATGATGATGATCCTTTCTCAAAGTTTTTCACAAACGTTTTTCTTCTTGGATTCACAAAGAAAACTCTCCAAGATGGTCACAAAGACTCCACAAAAACGCTTTTCTAAATTTGATTCTCAGTTCTAACTCTTGTCTGAAGTTTCAAAAAGTTCAAACTATTTATAAAAGTTTCAGACCCAGATAATCGATTATTTTAAAGAATAATCGATTATTTTGTTCTTCAGGTTTTCTGGAAACCAACCAAGAACAATATAATCGATTATTTTGCTGGATAATCGATTATTCCAGAGAGTTATTTCTGGGATAATCGATTATTTGGCAAATAATCGATTATTGTAGCAAGGCATCCCATTCTGCCTGTTGCTGGAATAATCGATTATATTTAATGATAATCGATTATTTTGAGTTAGTTTTCAAAACTTCGTTTTAAGTCTCAAAATAACTTTCTAGTCTTTTTAACTCATCATCACACACTCTCTAATTAGTTTAGATATAGATTTTGCTTATGCACACAGCACACACAACATATAAACTCATTCAAAACAATTTATATACTAATCCTTATTACATAGCATTCTCTTTGACTTTGTTTTTGTCTTCTAAGTTGTTGTTGTTTGTTGTTGTCCTTGACACACATTTTGTGATCATCAAAACTCCTTTAAGCTTCAGAGATAATCTTGACCTCATCAAGTTCAGGCTCCTCTAAGCTCAACAATTGTGACACTATTCTCCCCTGAATAATCAAACAAAAGAATTTAAATAATTAAGAAAATAAATTAAAAACCTTTCATAATTTTTTTTTCTAAGCATCAATATTCAATAAAAGGGTTCACAATCTATTCCTACAACTTTATTAAGCAACATAGTAAACAATATATAAAATTAAAAATAAGGCACAAACCACCCTTTTTAAGAAAATCCCAACAATTAAACAAAAAAAAAAGCTATAGTCCAAGTGAAATCTATTATAAACTAATTTCTTGTCCTAATATCAAACTAATCAGAGCAAGACCTTTCTTTATGTCTCTTCCTCATCAAACACATCTTTGTGCACATGTACTAGTCTTGCACCCAAACATAAACGTACAAATATAGGGAGTGAGAATACATCTCATCCGCACACAACAAATATAAGGTACATAGGTAGACACACACAATTATAACATCAATCACATTTCACACACATATAAGCATCCTTTTATACAATTACTATAATCATTTCCATGCATTCATTCATCATATGCACCTAACAAGTCATACAATATATCTGAATCATAATTAAGACTTTTGCAATGCATGCTCCTAACTTTATATGCTTGTGGTCTCAATCTCCTTATTGTAGAGAATGCAAATTAGCTTAAGAGTAATATAATAGAACTACCCCATCAAATAGTGTAGGGACCACCCATCAATATTGATCCTCCAAACCACCTTAACTAGGGGATGTCTATTAGGATTCTATCAAAGTGTTATAGTTGGTCATGGTAGTCTCTCATTCCTGTTAGAGGTTTTCCCACCATAATACTCTTTGGGACACAAGTAGATGATCTATGATATCGCACCTGCATAGACTCACACTATCATACAAAACAAAGTATGAATGCATGAACTCAATACAACAACACAATAAGCATACTCAACTTGTCAAGTGCTAGTCCACAACACTGGACTTATTCATCATATCTCATTGTTAATATTCTCACAGTATACAATAATTCAATTCGTCATTTTCTAGTTCATAGTATGAGACTTATTCATCGTATCTCATCACATTACTCATAGTACTTCAACGTATCATACATCTTTATAACTTCTCATACAACATGTTCACACAACATAACATTATACATTATTATTACTCATTATTCATCCATCACGTATTATAGAGTTCATCATTATAACATCATTATTATAACATCTCAATCATAACCTCATCATCATCATCAAACCTAAAACATCATAATATTGTACTCTATG